ATTACATCTTTGCAATTGTAAGAAAAGACTTCCGTTGTATAAAAGGGAAAAAAGAACGCAACCCTCCCCCCCCGCCAACCCTTCCTTGACAAATGGCACTGACCCCCCCCCCCACATCCCCAACCCCTGAAACCCCTGCCTAGAGCAATGGTCTGAAATAATCACTGATACCTAGTTATTTAAAAGGGAAAAAAGAACGCACCCCTCCCCCCCCCCCAACCCTTCCTTGACAAATGGCCCTGACCCCCCCCCCCACATCCCCAACCCCTGAAACCCCTGCCTAGAGCAATGGTCTGAAATAATCACTGATACCTAGTTATTAATAGTCATTATCCACAAAAAAGTACACACTGATTTGAAGTCAGTTTTAAAAAAAACATATGCGGTCATATCTGGATATATCTAGAACAAGCGTAATGTACATTCAAGTGAATATCTATTTTGAAAAAACAAAGAAACAAAAACAACAACCAGTGCGATTTGATCTCAAAATGTTAACCTTATAAAGGCCGGGACCGTTAATTCATGTTTACATATATTAACTTTATAATTACTAGTGGGCTTAGATAACATTATAGGTTTCTTCTTGGTGGATTGAGGTCAAATTTGATAGGAATACAAAGCACCTTTAATATGTGTGTTGATTCTCTTGTTTCTTCATCGCATTCCCGTCCCTCCCAACTCAACATGTTTTATATTAAAAGTACTGAATAAAAAGGGAAAAAAAAATCTCGTTCCGAATGTCATGCTAGACGTTTGAAACCAAGTAGATCTCAGTAAGCTCAAGATAAATGTAAGAGATGAAACATTTTATTTTCCCTTTAAAAAACAAATGTATACACGTAGGTTTTGTTTAGAGGATACAATTTTACAATTTTACTTTTTTACAACTAGAGCACACATTGTAAACATACCTGTCAGAGTACCTTTTAAAATATCGGTTAGTTTTAAATTAGTAATGCGCAAATGTTTTTGTCATTCGTCTAATTTTTTTTTTTAAATAGAAAGTTACATCTTGGTTTGGCTAACTGATATAATTGGGCAACTTTAAAATTAAAGTTTGTTCATCATCGAACTATAATGGATTTAACATATTAAAGACTAAGAATTTATGCACCAGAGGCCACAAAATTAAAAATTTAAAAGACCGGATTGCACCGGATTTTAATGGAATTAATAAAAAAAAATTTTTTAAAATTAACCTAAATATTTGTCTCAATAATTTTAATAGAGCCTATATCAGAGGAAAACTAAAATAACACTTTATGGAATGGGCTGCTGCGAGGAATCTGGATTTTATTTGATTTGATAAACGCCAATAGCTTTAGCGATGAGGAATATCGTTTTATTTTGATATAAATATTTTAAAAAATTATGTGATTATATATCATTTTGATTTTCATTGAATAAGTCTTGGACCCAAATTCCATATTTACACATTTAAAATAATAAATATTTTTGAGGAGATTTTTTTATTTATTTATTTTTTTTCCGAATGCCTTACTCGACAACAACGGGTATATTGGCTAGTAATTAATAAACTCCTGAAAATTAAAAGAAAAACAACATAAAAAATGTAATTACATAAATAGAAAGTATAAGGTATAGAATTTTTTGTCTGGTTTTCCCTTTTTCTATAAATATGTTTTCCAGGAATAATGTTACTCGCGAAAAAATCAATAGGTGGACTGATATGTTCTTTGAATTGTGCATTCAAACTTAATAGCTATATTTAGTTCTTACGTTACAACGTACTGGCAAGTAATCGTTTGTATCTCTACGAAGTTGTGTGTAGTGGCACCAAATTTTTCTGACATGAATTGTGTTCTGCTTTAGGTAATATGTTGTCATGCTTATGGTATAAATGTGAATTTCTTTGGCTTGTTCCTCTACCTGTATAACGGTAGTTAGGTTATTTTCGAAACAAAGATCGATCTTGTGAAGTTTCTCTACTTTAAATGTAAGTTGCTATCAAGAAGAATACCATAAAATATTAATGCTTTTATAATATATATATGTATATATATATATATATATATATAATATATATATATATATATACATTTTGTTGTTCGTCTGTCGAAGTCGACAAGGACCATCGAATCATCCGGTTAGGCCTAATGTTGTTCTTTCGGACAAGCCTGCGTGCCTTATCCTTGATTTACGAGCGCAAAGATTGTGTCCCCGCTGGCCGTGTTCAGTCGGCCAGGGTGTGAAGGAGCAGGCATTCTTTTGGGCACCTATTCTAGCCCCTTCGTCATATATTTAGAAGAGCCTGCCTGTCGCCACGAGACTTGGGATGATGGGTATAGTTGGATGACTGATGACTTGCTCGGGTGACTTTTTTTAAAGTGAGGAAGAGTTGCGCAGGTTGAATATATAAATATACATATATATATATATATATTTATATACAATGTATGTATATAGATATATGTATATATATATATATATATTCAGTTAAATAGCAAAATTTAAATGTGATATCTTTCAGATATAAAGCACGTTCTCGGGTGCACTGAAAGATAGTTTAAAAATGATTTCTATAAAGAACTTGATTTATAACATACAATTCAATTACTGAACAGAAAGGTATTTTGTATATATACAAAATAAAATAACGAATCCCATATGTTCTTATTTCCCATTAGTAAAAATATTTTTTATTTAGACTTTTTAGTCTTCAAAGGATGACATATTTATTTTGAGAGTTTTATACGTTCTCCCAGAAAAAAAGATAATATTTTCTTTAAATAATCGCTTTCTTAAGGGAAAAAAAAAACAACCAGGTAAATTAACATTTCCCTGCACGTTCCAATAAGATTTTACCACTAAGACTGCACTAGACAGTAGTAACCGTTTATTGCTTAGAACGTAACAAGGAATTACCGTGTTTGATAGAGGAGGGTTGGAGTTGGTTGGGGATATAGCTTCATCTTGGTTTGCGACTTTTTTAATTCTAAATCTAACCACTTGGATTTTCCGTTTCAACTGTTATTTTGAAACCGTGCCAAAGTCTGCGTGAATAGAATTCAGTTGATTGTGTTCTTTTTTTACAGCAGGTGTCGTACTAAGTCTTTGTCAATGGATTAAAATTCATTGTGTTCCTTGTCACTGCAGGTGCGATATTTTTGCCTTCATATATATACAACGTAATTTAAAAAGATATTATTACTTGAATAAATCAATGCAACATAAATTATGTATTTTACCATATATGTCTTTATCTGTGTGTGTGTATCTGTGTGTGTGTGTGTGTGTCTGCGTGTGTGATGACCGAAGTCTACTATAACACTGACATTATGGCACAGTGTGAAAATTATAGAAAACCATTTTTGACATTTTAATTAACCTCTTATCATTTATGTAAAAATGTTTTTTGAAAAAAAGAAAAATTATTATAATTTCTGATTTGAACTTTTGTCAAATGTAACGTTGATTCCTTTATAATATCGAATTTAGGAGCTATTCATAAAGTATGTGTGATAATTTTCACTAAAAATATAATAATAATAACTATATTGAGTTAATTTATATACGTTTATCTAAATTTATATATTTAATTGAACCTCATTGTGCCGTGTGCTACAAAAGCATTATTCAGCAATTTAAATGTTTCTGGTGAGAAATTTAGATTATGAACCTTAAAACCGAAATTTATAGCTCATCACTTAGAAACTTAAGTGTTGAAAACTATTAAAATGAAAAAAAAAACAGTATTGTACCACCCAAGCCTTGTCTTAAGTCCGATCTTTATTGATTAATATTTGTTTTGACCGATAAGAGACGCTAATTTATGATGGAAAGCCTGCTATTCGCCACGGGGGATAGGACAGTTTACAGTTGTTTTTATGCAACAAGATTAAAAAAGATCGTCTTCTTTTATTCATTTTTAAAGAGAGAAAAGTGATTTCAGGTTATAATATAAACATCGAAATACTTTTTAAAAATAATTCCACAGACACTAATTTTTAACTTTTGAATAAGCATTATTTAAATATATATATATATATATATATTAAGTTATTATTTTAAAAGTGAGGATTTGTAAAATGGAGGTGAAAAAAAAAAGTAAAAAAATATTTTCAGGGAGAAAGAATTTAGTCCTAATTTCTTGACCTATATACATTCCCAATTCCCGTCCCGCAACCCACCCTCCCCCCCCCCAACCTGGCGAATAAAAGAAAAAAAATTAATAAATAGAGTCTAATAATATAATTCTTTAACAAAAATTTTTCAAAAAAAAAAAAGAAAAGATAGATTTTCAAAATATAGTTGAAGTTAATGTGTAAATACAGACTTTTTAAACAACTTTTATAAACATTATATCTGTTTATTTTTTTATTCACCTTAACGAAGATCCAATTGCATTTAGGAAACAGAAAATGACTCGAGGGAGGCGTAAGAAATGCCCTGCAAAATCTGACCCAATATCAGATTTAATTACATCGGCAAAGAGCGGTGACCCGGAAGTTATTCGTCATAAGGCATGCGCCCTCGGCAAAGATTTAAACCTGGTGTATCCCGGTGGAAGAAATTTGCTGACCAAAGCCATCGAAGACAATGAGAACCTGTCCACTATAGAAGCAATCATAAAAGCAGGGGCTAATGTTGACGTTCAAAATATGCAAGGAAAAACGGCGCTGATGGTAGCAATAAGGGTTAGAAGACCTGACGTTCTCAAAGTATTGTTAGAATCCGGTGCCAATCAGGATTTGTTGACCAAAAAAAATATTTCAGCTGTTTCAGTTTGTTTGAAAGAGGGCATGTTAAGCTACTTAGAGATTTTACTGAAAAATGGGAGCTGTCCCCTTTCTTTTTGTGAAAGGCTAAAGCAAATCGCCTCATTTATAAGGCAACGAGATAGATCCAAGGCTAGTGGATCTCCCAATGGATCCACAGATTTAACAGTAGAGCCAGATTTAATTTCATACATTAAAAACAGTTGCATCGTAAATTGCACTGACGAAACGGGCACCACGCCATTGATGTACGCGGTTAAGCGCCACTACGATGATTGCGTTCGATTTCTGCTGCTGGCTGGAGCAGATGTGAATAGGATGAACCAGAACAAGGAAACCGCTCTGACACTCGCTATGACGAGAGGTGCAAACCCTATTCTTAAAGATCTCATCATGGCTGGAGCTTTCATCAAGCATCCTAAGGGTAAAACGTCATCGATGCACTTTGAAATGTTTAAGAAGATCCTAGACTACCTGCAAGAAAACGGACTTTTTAACATGCATGACGTTTACGGTAAAACTGCTCTTATTTACGCAGCGGAACGAGGAGATAGGCGCTGTATCATGTATGCTGTTCAAATTGACGTAGAAGAGTTTGAAAGTCTCCTTGAGAGAAAAAGAAAAGCTGCTGGAAATGGAAATGTTTGTGACAAGCCTGGTATTGTCTCAGCTCTTGGCACAGTTAAAACTGATGAAGATCACTGGTGTGAAAACTGTGATAAGTATGTTTTGGGAAAAGGATATAATTATAAAGATAAAAATGGTAGGCCCATTTTAATGTACGCCACTGAAACTAAAACATTGTTGTCAGTTTCGTACATTAGAGCTCGTATGTGTGACGAACTTGGTTATAGAGACTGTCAAGGAAGAACGACATTGATGAAGTATTTTAAGTCCCATGACCATATTTCCACACAAATTCTAAAAAACACTGGTTATAACCAAATCATTGAGAGACTATCTGCCCTAAACCGTGAAATTTATCTTAGTTACAAAACGATTCTCGAATTTTTTGGTGAGAACGTGAAATGTCATGATAATAATGGTACAACAACTGTTATCTATGCCGTTAAATATTACCCATTTCTAACTGAAGAAATTGTTTCACTGCTTGTAGGGGATACTCAAAAAGCTCAATATGAGGATGGCAGAACCGCTTTAATGATTGCACTTCAAAGTTATAAAGGCAGTCCAGACACTTACATCCAACCCCTTATTGGAGATTCGTGTAATGTACAAGATACGGATGGAAAGACAGCTTTAATGTATGCCATGAGCCACACATGTGACATTCCAAACCATCTCATTTTGCAGATGATAGGTGATTCTCAAAATATACAAGATAATGATGGAAAAACAGCTTTGATGTATGCATTTATACACAATAAGCAACTGTCTGAAAAAATGATTGAACGTTTAAATGGCGGAGATCCACTCATTCAAGACAAATCTGGAAAAACCGCTCTTATGTATGCTTTACAGCTGAACCGACGCCTTGCTTGTAACACTATAAAAAATCTTTTTGGGGGAAAGGTACATATTCGTGACATAGATGGAGATACTACTGTTGTTTATGCAATTAAATACTATACATATCTAACCGAGGAAGTAGTTGCCATTCTTGTAGGCGATACTCAAAGAAATCAATATAAGGACGGGAAAACAGCTTTAATGATGGCATTGCCTGGTTACGGTGCAAACTTAAAAAACAATAGACAATATATTAGGACACCTATCGATTTTGAAGAAAGAAGTTGGCGAAGGTGGATGTTTCCATTCTCAGATTTTCGCCATCCTGATGAAGACTTTCTCAAATACCGAAAACTTTCAGGCGATTATTTAAGACCACTAATTTTAGATTCTTGTAATTTACAAGACAAAGAAGGGAAAACAGCTTTAATGTACGCCCTTACCTCGAAAACGCGCGTACCAACAACTCTCGTTATGAAGATGATTGGTAATTCTCATAATCTTCAAGACAAAGACGGGAAAACAGCCTTGATGTATGCTCTACAAAATTACAACGATCAATCTTATACTTTTATAGATGAACTTATTGCAGGTTCTTCTAATATTCAAGATAAAGATGGAAAAACAGCTTTGATGTATGCCCTCATATATGCAAGAAATATTCCAGTGCGCTTCCTGAAACAGTTGCTTTGCCCTTCTCAGAACAAACACAATAAGGGCGTCCGGAACGCGTTAGTGCTTGGCTCAGAAAGAGCAGTGTCGTCAACGGAATGTTCAATGGGGCCACACAACGGAGATCTCATCAATGTGCAAGACAGTGTCGGTAAAACGGCCTTGCACTACGCCATTGAACATGGCCAGGATACAGACTACATGAAATGTATTGTTCTCCATGGAGCGAATCTTGAGGTTCAAGACAACAAAGGACAAACTGCACTTATGCTATGTGTTGAAGTTGACACTCGGGTTATTCAACAAAACGGGTATGTAAAAGGATTGAAAAAACATTTTCGTAAAACTATAACGCTTTTGCGATGCAATGCAATTCCGATCCTTAATTCAAGAGGAAAAGAGAAAATCTTCTCCACTATAAAGAATGGATTATTCAATTCTATGAATTTGTTTAAAAACAAAGACATTTTTCGTTTGATAATTGCAAATGGCGTTGTCCCTTTTCCCGATTTCCGGTTTAAATTTTCTACGCTGTCTCTTGTTTTAAAACATAACCAGACAGATGTCACAAAATACGTGATCGCTAATATGTGTCTCACAAATGATGATTTGAAAATGATGAAAAATTTTAAAAACTTAAAGACATTAAATTACAATGCCAGGAATCACCCACATGTAGACCTGAGTTCCCCTGACCTTCAGCACTTGTTGAGTGACGCTACTTCTCAACCCTGGCCCCTGGTCAAACTGTCATTCATTGCCGTCAACTCTGCCGTCGGTCACGGCGTTGACAGAGAACACAGAATAAAAATGTTGCCACTGCCTAACCCGATCAAAGACATGTTGATGTTTAACACGAGGACGGCACTGCTGCCGGTTAGTGAGTGGGCAAACATCCCGATGATTTTTGATCCTGCTGAATATGAAAAGACAAGCAGGCCCAGACCTTTGCTTAACTACTGGCCATTTGGTGAAGTACTGGTCGTCTAATAATGCATGGTACTAATGTTTTGTGAAGTACTGGTCGTCTAATACTGCATTCTACTAATATTTGGTGAAGTACTGATCATCTAATACTGCTTTCTACTAATGTTTGGTGAAGTACTGGTCGTCTAATACTGCGTTTTACTAATGTTTGGTGAAGTACTGGTCATCTAATACTGCATTCTACTAATGTTTGGTGAAGTACTGGTCATCTAATACTGCATTCTACTAATGTTTGGTGAAGTACTGGTCATCTAATACTGCATTCTACTAATGTTTGGTGAAGTACTGGTCATCTAATACTGCATTCTACTAATGTTTGGTGAAGTACTGATCATCTAATACTGAATTCTACTAATGTTTGATGAAGTACTGATCATCTAATACTGCATTCTACTAATGTTTGGTGAAGTACTGATCATCTAATACTGCATTCTACTAATGTTTGATGAAGTACTGATCATCTAATACTGCATTCTACTAATGTTTGGTGAAGTACTGATCATCTAATACTGCATTCTACTAATGTTTGGTGAAGTACTGATCATCTAATACTGCATTCTACTAATGTTTGATGAAATACTGATCATCTAATACTGCATTCTACTAATGTTTGGTGAAGTACTGGTCATCTAATACTGCATTCTACTAATGTTTGGTGAAGTACTGGTCATCTAATACTGCATTCTACTAATGTTTGGTGAAGTACTGGTCATCTAATACTGCATTCTAAAGTGAAAATAAAGATTATGAGGACGATAACATAGATCAAATTAATTGCATTCTAGCAGTATGCACTTTACTCTTCATGGTCCGATTATTTACGGTTTTTTTTTTTAATGTTAAATTCCTGCTTATCTCCCTGTTTATAAGCTAATTTTTCTCTGTTCTGTTATATGACGGAAGCTTTCATTTATTTTATCAGTTTCAACATGTGTTTCTTTTTAATTTTAATGTTTTTGATCCATAAATGCTTCTTGATATTTCGCCTCTAAAAATAATTGACTTATTAGAAATGTATATTACAGTATTTGCTTAAAGTTTAGTGGAATAAATTTTAGATTTTTTTTTGATAATCTAAAGTGTAAAAAAACTTTTTTTTAAACTTTTGTTTCTATACAAATGATTGATTGATTGGATATTTATAATAGAGCTGGTATCCATGCTACTATAGCATGCTGACTGCGCTCTGGTTTTTTTAAATCTGTATTAATAAATGTTTATGCAATACATTTTATTTTGTATCCTTATTTTATTGACAAAAGTCATTAAAAAATATATTTCTATTCGTGTATTAAATTAAGTTCTAGAATGCACGTTTATGGATATTTTTAATGCAAATTTTTTGTTTTGGTTTTATTTGCATATTTTTTGTTTGTTTTAACTACTCTCAATTCCCGCTGTTATTCAGAAACGAGACTAATATCTACCCTGTAAAAAAACAAAAAAAAAATTAACTTGTTCCTTGAAAGATGCTTTGATCGAACACTTTCTTTTACTATTGGTTTAAATGAAACTGGTGACGTGGGTTTGAGGTGTCAATTATTTTGATTCACTACCAGTCGTCCATACCCTTTCTCATTTCTAGAAATGATACTTCCATTCTTCATTGAGTACACGTTCTATCAAATCTTTTTTCGATGAAAGACCACATAAAACTGGGTGAAAGTCCAAAATCCTTAGTATTGTGTCTAAGTACTTATGCAATATAATAGTCTTGTGTTGTAATTAACGATCTTTCAAACTTAAATTTTGAGTTGGAGTTTTGATATCAAAACATTATCTCTAACGTGTGAAGGCGCTCATTCTCTTCAGAAAAGAAGTGCAAACAATAAAATGCGATATATATATATACATGATATATCATTTTAGTTTCTATAGGCTTTATTTATTAAATTTTTCCGGTCAAATTTTGAATGAATGCAAGTGGTAACTAAAATATAGTTCTATATAACGTGTTATTGATATTTGAATAAGGCATAGCTGTCAAGTGTTTGAAGTAAACATTGGTACAGTTTCAAAAACATTTCTTTTTAAATATAGAGTGAGTGAACATAATGTATTAATGTACATACAAATATACATACATACATACAAACACACACACACACACATATATATATACATATACATATATATATATATATATATATATATATATATATGTATATATATATATATATATATATATACAATGCCTTCTTAAGGTATGGGTCAAGTGGGGTCCATTGGGCATAATATATAAATATATATACATATATATACATATATATACACACACACACACACACATATATATATATATATATATATATATATATATATATATATATATATATATATATATATATATATATATATATATATATATATACAATGCCTTCTTAAGGTATGGGTCAAGTGGGGTCCATTGGGCACTGGCTAAGGTCCCCGCGTTTCTAGGAGACTCACTCTTATGGAGACATCGTACTTTACATATTTTACACTAAATATTGAACAGTTTTGACAATTTAATTGGATTGAAAATTCCCAATTTTAACCCACGATATATATCAGGAAATTTCAAAATTAATAGTATTATATATGCGAATCAAAGCTGGACAATTTTAAAACCTTTAAAGGGGAACAACTCTCATCAAAACGTTTTACTCTTCCCAGAAATAAATCAGGAAAAAAAAGGTAAGAATCAGCTTCATAGTACAATGGGCAACTTCCCTCTCACAGTAGGATTCATCAGTAGTTTTTTTTTTTTTTTTGCATTGCTCTTGCCATTTTACCCCCCGGAAAGCCTTTGTTTCCCGTGCTCTTTTTGCTGAAATAATTTTAATTCTCATCAAAACGTTTTACTCTTCCCAGAAATAAATCAGGAAAAAAAAGGTAAGAATCAGCTTCATAGTACAATGGGCAACTTCCCTCTCACAGTAGGATTCATCAGTAGTTTTTTTTTTTTTGCATTGCTCTTGCCATTTTACGCCCCGGAAAGCCTTTGTTCCCCGTGCTCTTTCTGCTGAAATAATTTTAAGATGGACAAGGCAATACGGTATTAATAAAATAATGTCCACATCCTTTCGGTTGGTCCCAACCCCAGTGTTAGTATCCAAACTAAGAATGCAACTTTCATTGCCTGAAAACTCATTGCATGAAAAGCGATTGTATGAAAAGCGATTGTAAGAAAACTCAATTATTTGAAAGGCGATTGAACGAAAAGTTAGAATACCGTCTCCCGGTTCGAGGCTCACACTTTACTATAGTAAACTAAGGGAATTTAAATATTTACTTGGCTCGCCAGGCGACACTTGGGCCACGTGTTTCTGTGCTACGCACATGTCATACACCCTTTAGGCCGGCGTTGCAATGGGATGAAAACTTTTGAATTATTGTTTACTTGTTCATGAAAAATTACATCCTTAAGATCATTGACCATTAATCAATAATAATAATAAAATATCTGGAAAAAATAGCGCAAACGATAATGTTTATTGATATTAGATAATTTATTCTATCTATATGTCAATAATCATAATTTATCATTCTCTGTGATTATATATTTATAATTTCTGATGAAGTTTGAAAACTATTAATGATTTTCTTTTTTTATGAATAAATTGATTAACATAATTGACTATTTATTTTTCTTTTACATTTATATTCCTCTTGGTGAGTTTGTGGGGAGCATGGGGCAGGTGTCCCCTTCGCCCCCTTCTAACAACCCATGTATGTTCTGTTGTTAGGAGGCCCCAGTGCATGCATTTACCAAGGGCCTCCTATTTTGTTAAGACAGCCATATATATATATATATATATATATATATATATATACACATATATATACATGTTTAAAGATTAATCAATATTTCACATGCTTCAAAAGAAAACATAGAATACTTCTCGTTTATTCTTTTTTACATGAATAACTGTAGTAAATGCGTGTAGCCTACATTTCAACACGTATGTGTTTATTGCATAACACGTTTGCATAATTCGATAAACTCAATAAAGATTAAATACATATATTTAATTGAAAAATATTGCTTATTTGTATACGAATAAAAGTTGAATGGACTAGAAGTTTTAAAGAATACGTATTCCAAGAATGTAATGATGTAACATTACTAAAATTAAAAATTATTAATAATTATGTATTGATGAAAAAAAAAGTATGTAAAATATAATAGATAAGCTATCATTATCTCTAAAAGAGATGACGTCTAATTTTTGCGACCTCTTCTTATCCTGCTTAGCCAATTTTGCTATCTAAATTTGAACACATTAAAGGGGTTACTATTCCCTTATTTAAACCTGATTAAAAATAAACAATATAAAGTCGAACAATTTTTTTTGAACTCGATTATCAATGCATGGCTTCTTTTTGGCGTAAGTGCTGTATCACTCAGGTCTTCTTGTAACAAAATATATGTTTTTGAACAAACCAAAAATGATTTATTGTACCGATTTCATTTTTTTTCTTGTGGTATCACTTTAATTAACGAAATGATTTAACCGAAACGTAATAATAATTGAATTAAATTCACATCTTTATATGCACTTGCCGTCGAGGGCATTGACCGAATGGTTCTTAGACGAGGTGTTGAACATCGGCGTAAATATACTACCATCATACGGTTTAGACGTTAAATTTGATCTTTGAATCCAATTAATTAAACATAATTTTTTAATACTATTTTACACACTGAGGTTTTCAGCTGACAATTTACAGACATATATAAATACATGAAAGTTTCATGCACAAAACTACACCTTATTTGAATCCTTTATTTTAGTAGCCAAAAGTGGTCACTCAAAAGAGACAACAATTACTATATTGCAGTTCTTATAAGAATGATCACATTTTTACTAGGACCACCAGACGATCACAGACAATCGATACACTGGCGTGTTCGTAGTTCAGTTTACGTTCTTTTTATATTTCTTTCTACTGAGGGTTATTACAAAAATGTTTGTTGGCTATTTCGAATAAATTTCATGAATAATTCATTCTTGAACCAACCATGATTGAGTATAAGACACGGCATTAGAAAAAGATTTTCTATCTGTAATATACTTGTGAGAAATTTTCATTTCAAGACAGACAAAACTAATGTAATGATATCTTAAATCACTTTGTTAAAGGGTATTTATATGGTGGCCATGTGTTGTTCAGCGTGAAAACGAGGTCAATCCCAAAAGGCCACTGGTACAACAACGGTCTTGGATATGGTAAGTTCTCATAGACTGTCAGATCAAAGCTCAGAGGAATCCTATGCCAATCGAAGACGGGGATTTTAGAGATCGGACTTTGATACAGCAGCATGTCTTCGATCTTTTTGGGAAGTTTTAATTTGTTGATTTTACCCGACCTCTCGTGTGAATGTCCAACTAACGTCGACACGGTCGTGAAGGCTAACTTGACCAGAGGCCACGGAGTGCTAACAGCTTGCGTGATTAACAAACTGACGTCTTCAGGCAGACTGCAACACGAGCAGAGTAGTTCTTGAAGTCTTCTAAAATCTCCATCGATGAAAACTGTATTGACAATGAGGTAGCGTGCGGCGTCGATTTTAAAGTCCTGGAGTGCCACAGAAAGGGGGGACACGGGTGAGTGAGAACTGTACTCAAAGTCTGCAATGTAGGGCAGTGTGCTGTTGCAAACAAGAAATCTCAGGACGGATAAATCGTTTAAGGCCTGACGGAGACGAACTGAAGTCGGTTTCAAATGGGGTTTCAAGACATCGTGTATTGAAGGAGTAGATCCGAGATTTATGATCTCGGAAGGGAAAGTCTTCCTATTGTTAAGAACTTCAAAACAGTTGTTCCACGGGTAGTATTGTTCGAAATAGCGAAACGGTCTCGGTTCAATCATCTTGAGAAGATCTGTTTTGTTTTTCACGTCAGGAATGTTAACATTGGCTCCTAGCTCTAGAAAATGTTGGCAAGTCTCAGGAGTCAGATGTCTTGTAAATACCACGTGGATGAAGGCTGTGTTTCCGAACTTATCCATGGCGTTAATGGAATCTCCGCGTAAGATTTCAATGAGCTCGCGCGTTAAATGTGGAAAAAATAACACCGCATGCATCAACGCAGTTTTTCCGTCACTGTCCTGCAGGTTTAAATCACCACCAAGACCAACAATGCGCTTGATGAAGTCGATAGATACCGACGCCACAGCGTACATCAGTGCAGTTCGCCCTTGCTTGTCACGTACGTTGACGTCTTCGCCGACGAGAAGTTCCAGGACGGAGGACTCAGCACGATGCATAATGCCGTGCATTAACGGGGTTCTCCCATCCACGTCCTGAAGGTTCACGTCAAACCCTAGCTCTAGCAACTGCGCAATGTGGGCTGTAGTCCTGGCAAACATCAGCGCGGATCGTCCTCTTTTGTCTTTCGTCGTTACGGTGTCGCCGACGAGACTTTGTACAGCATCGTGTGTCAAATACGGGTTGTGCGATAGTGCGTCCATTAACGCAGTCATCCCATTGTAATCCCGTTGGTTTACGTCCATTCCACCGCGAACGCATTCCGTGATTAACTCGATGTTATACTTGACATAAAACAAGGCGTGGCGTCCCATGTTGTCAGGGGCATTCACGTGTGTCCCGAGCAGAAAATGAAATTGTCTTGTTGATAACTTGTCACCGGCAAGCATGACCGCTGTTTTGCCCTCACTGTCTTGTCGATCCAGCGTGTTGCCTCGAAGGCAAGTGATTAAACACTCAGAAAGCTCACGTTCATTCACGATGGCATACATCAGTGCGGTTTTCTGAAACCTGTCGACAAAATCCACGCATCCTTCTGCCAGATACTCGATGAGACCATCGTCCAAGGGCCTCTTAGACGCCAGGGCGTGCATCAGGGCCGTTTTACAGAAGTCGTCTGTGACGGCCTTGCTTTTCCCCGCTAGCAGTTTCACAAAAGTTGTTGAGACCGGGGCTTCCCGATTCAAGAAAGTCAGCTTGGACAGATAATAACAGTCGCAAAAGGCAAACATTAGCGCCGTTTTAAGATCTTTGTTCTGCAAATCAGGATCTGACCCGCAGTGGAGCAAGTGTGTGACGCATTTCACAGACAAACTAGAGGCAGCGTACATCAGCAATGTCATGCCATGACAATCTTTTTCGTTGATTTTTCCTTCCGTTTTCAGCAAATCGGCGCAACTCTCTAAGTAAGACACAAACTGGGGCACATTTTTTACATGAGATGATATGAAATCTGCGCCCGATTCCAAAAGTGTAACTATGCAGGGGCGACGACCCTTACGACACGCCCTTGCAAATGCTGTTTCTCCCTTTTCGTTCTCTGCATCCACCTTTGCTCCCTTCTTTAGGAGAGATTTTGAACATTGAAAATGTCCTTTGCTGGAAGCCAGATGGAGAGCTGTGTCGCCAGACGAGTTTTTATGGTTGACATCAGCCCCTGCTTGTAAAAGGACATCTACGCAATCGTCATAGCCTCGTTTTGATGCTTTTAGCAGAGATTTTTTGGATAAATTCACATCCGCTCCTGCCTTTAACAAATTTTCCAAAGCTGTTTTATTTCCCCTTTCAACTGCAAAGTCGAGGAGAGTCTTGCCGTTTGAGGACACGGTGTTGACGTCATAATTGTTCAACGCGGCCTTCAGCGCACTTTCGTCGTCTGAGCTGGCGGCTTTCAAAACGGCTTTCACGCGATTGGGTGAAAAAATCCCCAGCTTGTTGAAACTTCCGGAGGCCATTTATTTTCTTTTACACTAATGAAGACTGCAAAGAAAGAGTAACATTAAATGGTAATAAAGTACAAGTTGTAACAATTGAAATTCGGATCGTATCTTATATGCTACAAAGCGAATCTTTGTAGCAACGATCTTATAGTTAATGTTAACAATTTTTTGGCTCTAGGACAGTGCTTTAAACTATCTCTGTGACTCGACCTACAACCCGTAAGCGACTAGGCAGTATACATTGGTAGAAGGAATTCATCAATCTGGAGTAAAATATATTGTAAAAAAAAAAAAAAAAGAAAACGTATTTCAAGTTATTGAAAAGAAAAACCCCACTCTTCGGTTTAGAAGGAGCAGAGAGGAAAAAAAAAAAAACTTATGTGTATCAGTATTAGTTATAGTAAAAGTTATTTCCCGTGATGAGCGGCAAGAATCTCGAAAAAAATTTCACAGGAACTAAAGTCACTGGAAAAAAAGTCAAATTAAAAAAGTCACAGGAAAAACACGCAGAGGAAAAAAATTCACATTAGCAAAAGTCTCTTAAAAATGTGTTTTTTAACCATCATTTTTTATTTATAAGTGTATATAAATGTTTTTTATGGACTAAATATTAGTAAATTGAAATAAGAGACGCCTCATTAGGATCGCCGTTAGAGTCAAACAAAATGAATGACGTATGTTCCCAGTCTATTTCCCAAAAAAGATTCTACGTCCACTGGTTAAACATCATTATTATTTTCGCCAAATCATTTATTATTTTTCTATCTATTTATTATTATTAGGCTATAATGGCTGAAATAAAAAAAAAAAGTCTTCGGTTCACAGTTCTCTAATCGATTTGTTCACAACATGTGCTCTTTTCAAGGGCTCGCCTGCAGCACCATCAATCTCCTTACAACTATTTACTTATAAAACTAAGTATAGGACTTTAGGGCCTTTATCTAGGCCTCAATGGCCTTTTTATGGAGTTTTCTTTTCTCTGGAAAGGGCTTCACAATTCAAAAGGTTTAAACAAAGCTCAAATTCAACGGTCGATAACTGGTCTGCCACGGGTGGGTGATTTCTTATAACTATAATGCTTTTCCCTATTCTTTATTTAGACGTGCGGCGGGCGAAGATAACGATCAGCACAAAACGCATTAAAGGTTAGCCATAAATATAACCTGTTGACATAAATGTTTCCCTATCAAAGAATGTGGTAATGGTGGCTGCTCACAAGTTATGTAATTATAAACAAGAGAACGTTGGTTATACAATGCGCTTCACTCACTCTGGATTAAACCTGTTGGTTAACACAGCCATCGTACAAGAAACACAACTGCGTCGTTCATCTACACACACAACACATCCGGGAATGTCAACAGAGGGTTGAAGGTAAGGACTGGTGTCCTGCAGTTGACACGGTCACGGCACTAGGTGTACAGGTAAAAAGGTAAGCGTGTAGCATTGTTGTACAAGACGCAGCAGGGCTTAATCAGTGAATCTCAAACCTAACACTTCACGACAAGGATATATTAGTAACAGTACAACGGGGCTACGAACGCCCTGTTAATTCATTATGTTTATATTTTGTAATCATTTAATTTTTTTTTTAGGATTGGTGTCCTGCAGTTAAAACGGTCACGGCACTAGGTGTACAGGTAAATGGTAAGCGTGTAGCATTGTTGTACAAGACACAGTAGGGCTTCATCAGTGAATCTCAAACCTTACCCTACACGGCAAGGATATATTAGTAACAGTACAACGGGGCTACGACCGCCCTATTAGTTAATTATGTTTATATTTTGTACTCATTTAATTTTTTTTTTAACTTTTGCGTGTCTGGTGATTTAGGGATGTTGTTCGGGGCTCTGGTTCGCAGAACATCAAGACGTGGGAAACTCTCAACGAACACATTTTAAAGCCTTCTATTCAGCTGGATAGGATTATAATGTATATAAGATAAGATAGATAAGATGAGATGGATCAGATAAATAAGATAATAGATCTGAGGTTAGACGGATAATATTAAATGGGTAAGATCGTATACGATAATAAAGATAGGCGAGATTAAAAACAAACATAACAAATATAATATCAGATCAGATAAATGGATAGGAAAGATGAGATAAAATACGATAGATAAAAATAAGATAGACAAGGTGGAATAGATCAGATACGATAAGATAAATAGGATAAGGTAAGATCCGATTTCTAATGATCCATAATAATATCAATAGTCATGTGTTTAAAGAAAAAAATATTTCAATAAACATTTCCATTTGCTACACATTATTAAATGCATATTTAAACAAAGACAACATTTTACAATTATAACACATTAAAAAAAAACAAAAAAAAAAACAGCGAATTTATTTTTTCTAGCGTACAAATCAGTCTTTAATAAAAATACTTTTGTGACAATAATGACTTAACTAGTGATAATTTAGATTTCATGGCCGCTTGGGGAGCACACTGAGTAGTTCGCACAGACGGGGGTACAAAATAATGTTTGAACTATTTTTCGGTTTTAACTTTAAGGAAAAAAAAAAAAAAATTTGGCCCAGATCCAGTTGAACCTAGGTATCAAAGATAAAGAGGGTCGGATGTATCATCTTTATCCTTTAATTTTACATCACTATTCGTAAAACTGATCCTCAAGTCAATGATGTTTCGTTTCTTTGATGCTGCTATCATTTTTGATTAACGCAATTCATCGGTCGTTGATGCCAGTCGAAGACCAACACAATCATGTAGTACTCAAGTTTAGTGTGTGTTTGCACTGACAAATAAGTGATCACCTGTTTGTATTGTGAAATTGTGAAGAAAAAAAAAATAAGATGGGAAAATCTTTTTTTTTTCATACATATTTTGGCCGTGTTCATTCCATATTAGTTCATTATTAATAGTTGCCTATATGTCTTGTCTTTAATTACTTTATACCGGGATTATTAAGTTTGAGATATTCAGTTATGTGATCACCCTCAAGAGATCGATAACAATCTAGCGACGGGAAACCTTTCTTCAACCTTAAACTGCCGGCAATTTTGCACTTTTTTTTGGGAAAAGTGTGACCAGGGTCCGGTGTAATTGGAAGTTCGTGTGTCTTTGCTACTATGTATCTAGTATTAGTAAATTCAAATTTTGTATCATTTTTTTTAAAGCACATTTAAAAAAAAGAAACTAAGCATAAAAAATAGTATAATTAATCAGAAGAAAAGATGTGCGTGGTGTTTGTTTTTTTCTAGAAATGTCCAGTTTAAAAAAAAAAAAAAAAATCCAGTTGTTGGCGTTATTTTTTCTTTCTTTTTTTGTCTTTGCTATTTTTTATCTAGTATTAATAAATTCAAATTTTGTATCATTTTTTTTAAGCACATTTAAAAAAAAGAAACTAAGCATAAAAAATAGTATAATTAATCAGAAGAAAAGATGTGCGTGGTGTTTGTTTTTTTCTAGAAATGTCCAGTTTAAAAAAAAAAAAAAAATCCAGTTGATGGCGTTATTTTATCGTTCATTTTCATGTGAGTTCAGTTTATGGTTGTAGTTGTCCACGCGGTTACCTCTCCTTGTGGTCTGGGTGTCCACCTCACTTGGCCCTGGGCTCACTTGTCATGTGTTCCGTTGTATCGTTGTCAGTTGTCGTAGTTTCGCCTTTCGTGGGCTCACTTGTCATGTGTTCCGTTGTCTCGTTGTCAGTTGTCGTAGTTTCACCTCTCGTGGGCTCACTTGTCATGTGTTCCGTTGTCTCGTTGTCAGTTGTCGTGGGCTCAGGAGTTCGGTCACCATTTTACCAAGACAATTGTGCAGTAGTCATTAACGTTGAGGAAGCTTTCTGCCAACCATGATCAAATATCAACCGTTAGAGACGTGAATTTTCCCATGTTGCACTAGAAATTGCTCACAATTCAGTCCGCGAGCACAGAGCAAAAAATCAGATGAACATGGCTTATCGCCTCCTGCAACTTAGTAAGCTTACCAAAAAAAAAAGGAAATTTCAGAATTTCGCCCTTTAGTTTTACAGCGTAAATGGCCATTATCCTGTTTGGGCAATAACGCATAGAAATTCACTGATATGCCACATAACAAAAGTTTTACAAAAATATATATATATTTTTTTTAAAGGAAAAAAAAACACTCACACAATGTTTATCCGCAAGAAGCATTTATTTCCATGTTACGGTTTACGACACTTTGCTCGGTTATATTCACATCTCCTCGATCCATGCACGTCGTAATCGTACTCGTCCAAGCACTCTACGTACTCGTAATGGCAGATATTCTCATGCAGATTGTTAGGACCTTGGTCGTTCCTGCCGGAAACGGCGCAGCCGACTGCATAGTTTGTGCGGGGTAGCAAGACCAATACCGCAGATACTGTGATACATTTTAATGAGAGAATCCTCCTGTTAGACCAAAAATAAAACAATTAGAAACAAGGATTGGTTTTTTAAACTATTTTTTCGTTCTCATTGATTAGGATATCACATTACACACGGTAAAAATTTACTCCGCGCCTGTACCATTGATGATGATTGGGGAGAGTGCATGTCCGTCAACTCAATTCCCACACATGATTGGATGGATGGATGGATAGATAGATATATAGATATATAGATTATCTATCTATCTTCTATCTATATATCTTGGATCTATATATCTAGATATAGATAGATAGATAGATAGATAGATAGATAGATAGATAGATGGATGGATGGATGGATGGATGGATGGATGGATGGATGGATGGATGGATGGATGGATGGATGGATGGATGGATGGATGGATGGATGGATGGATGGATGGATGGATGGATGGATGGATGGATGGATGGATGGATGGATGGATGGATGGATGGATGGATGGATGGATCGATGGATGGATGGATGGATGGAGTGATGGAGTGATGGAGGGATGGAGGGATGGATGGATGGAGTGATGGAGTTATGGATAGATGGATAGATGGATAGATGGAGTGATGGACAGATGGACAGATGGACAGATGGACAGATGGATAGATGGACAGATGGACAGATGGACAGATGGACAGATGGGACAGATGGGACAGATGGGACAGATGGACAGAGTGACGGATGGACGGATGGACAGATAGACAGACATCCTGAAAGACAGACAGACAGTCAGACAGTCAGATGCAATATAACATTTGGCTCTTTAAATTTTTAACAGATCTCACACCACAAACGACTATAGTGCTATAGTATATCATACATTCTTTAACTGCATAACAACTTAGTACTTATCATAACCTACATTTCGTGTCCTGAGTAGGCGAGCAGCCCTTCGGTCGATCAAGCTTGTCAACGAATAGGGGAATGAATTACTTGATGACTTTATCATTATGTTATGTTTTAGTTTAGTAAGTGAAAAAGGGAGGCCTGCAATATGGAACAAACCTTGATGAAAAAAACTGGGAAACACCAGAGGGATCTACATCATATAATATTTGCGTGATCAAAAGAGATTCTGCTTCACATTTTGTAAACATCGAAGTATAACTACTAAGTAGCAGCAAGTACGTGGTTAAAACTTTTGCTTAATGTAGAACTTACCGTTAATATCTTACTATTATTTCTGTACATTTTTTTTAGATATATTTTTTTTTTGTAACGTTAAGATTCTTAAAAGATTGGTTATTTTAAAGAAAAAAGAAATCGTAGCAGAAATATGCAGATAAAGAAAAGAAGGCTTATGATTATAAAATGATTAGATTATTATTTTTTTAATTTACCGTCCCCAAAAAAATGGTGGGGTTGTGTAACGGCACAAGATGTTGTGCTATTGATTACTCAAGTGTTGCCTGTCATTGCGACACGATGTATGTGAAGGAGGCATGGTCAAGATGCTGGTAGAACAATTACGTTTTTGAAATTGTTTGTTAAACATGCCTTAATTTATTTTTTAGTGTACGTGTTAGTCTCTTTCTAAGTATACTTGTGTATATATATATATATATATATAAATATATATTTATAAACCCTGTATAACTTAAAGACTGAAGCTCCTCTTTATAATCAATTTTTTTTTTACTTAAAAAGGGCTACACGTAATGTTGTACTGCTTGGGAGATCCTTCCATTCGGAGAATCTATCTATTTGAAGAATCCATCTATTTGAAGTGTCCATACATTTGAAGTATCCACCCATTTGCAGAATCCATCTATTTGAAGAGTCTATCTGTTTGAAGAATCCATCATTTTGAAAAATCCATCCTTTTGAAGAATCCATGCATTTGAATAATCCATCCATTTGAAAAATCCATCCTTTTGAAGAAATCATCCATTTGAAGAATCCATCTATTTGAAGAATCCATCCATTTGAAGAATCAAGCTATTTGAAGAATCCATTCTTTGAAGAATCCATCCACTTGAAGAATCCATCCATTTGAAGAGTCCATCTGTTTGAAGAATCCATCTATTTACGTTAAGTTATTGTATTTTTAAAAAAAGACTTTTTTCCATTATTATTTATTCTACTTCTGTTATGTAAGTAACAACAAAAACAGAAACAACGATTAAAAAAAAATCATATCAACACTGATAATTATGAATGTAAAAGTTATATTGGATAAAAAAAATTAATGCATTGATTAATTATATATAGCGGAATTAATCAAACACAAGTCATCTCCTTTATCTCATCATGCGTGCTATGTTTTTTACAGTCGCTTCTCTGTTCAACCCAAGGAACAATCGCTGTTTCATTCTATGGTAGTGAATTGGTTTGTATGGTTTTTTTTTTCAAATTCAATTACCCCCCACCCCACCCAAAAAAAAAAAAAAAAGAACAAACATTGTTATTTTTCCTATTCAAATCATAAATAGTGTATTTTTCTACTCTATTACAAACACTCTGTATTTCCATTCTCATTTAAAATTTCAACTTTTTAAAAGAAAAAAAAAATATAACAACAGTATCACTCCTCAGTCGTTCAAAGAGTTCATGATTTTTTCTTCCAGACAACTCATCCAATAATGATGTGACGAAGACAATGTTCGCAGTTACGAAGCTCACTCGATCAAGGGAGTCAACCATGCCAACACGTACCAACAACTGAGGGCATTTCTTTTCTTCTTCTTGCCCCAAAGCACCATAAATTTTAAAACAAATTTATACATAAATTAATCGACTTCGATGTGTTCTGATTTAAACTTCAACTAAAGGCAGACATGCGTTTTATTGGCGAATACGTCCTTTTAACAGAAGTCCTCATAACCCGTTCCTTTGCTTAACCTCCATTTCATATTCACTCGTGGACACTGAAATTGTTTGCTTTAAAAGATTCAAAATGTCGTTTCTACGTTCTAATATGAAAAAAAAAACCCTCAACAGATCTGATCAGTAGGTTTGCATTCTTAGTACAAGTTTATAAATACACACAGTTTTCTTGTTGGCGGTTTTAGTTTTTTTTATTTTAACGTTGTTTGTGTTTTTTTTTTTTTTTTTTGTTTTTTTTTTTTTTTTCTGTTTTTTTTTTTTTTTTTTTTTTGTTTTTTGTTTTTTTTTTTTTTTTGTGTGCGTTTTTTTTTTTTTTACAAATTAATTAATGACTGATCTAAATTTATTTTCATGGCGCACTTGTTACAAACTTATTAAAACTGATTTTTTAAATTATTAAAACACCAAATATTGTATAACTTATGAGTTGAGTGAAGCAGGCTTCTTATTAGCCAGTGTTGTATTTAAATCTCTGTGTTCACGAGGTTTTCATTTGGGAACACTGAGTTCTGAGAAGACAAAAAAATGGTGGTCAATCTAACAATTTTCTGTTTACTGCAAAAGCATTTGTAATACACATATACATATATATACACATATATATTAAATAATTAACATCTATGCAATCAGTTTGATGGAGGCCTCAGAAGCTCCAAATCTTCTTGCTAAATCGCAGCTCTGACTCCGGTGTTGAAACTTTAAGTGAAAAGGCGTATATGTCGATCAAATGTTAATGGAGAAGTTTTGAAGATTACAGGCATCTTGATATCGACCTAGGGAGTTCAAAATAACAGAAATAAACAGTGTAGACAAATAAAGCCCTCAAGATATGCTAATCACAGAAAAAAAATATTTAAAATGTTGAAGGAAAACTTGAGTTTTATGCAGACATGGGAAGAAAAAGGGGCTGTTAATATAAAAGAGCGACATTCTGAAACCGGAAACATGGGATATTCCTCCTGGCCCAAAAACATTTTGTACCTGAATTTATATTTTAAATCTAAAGTCATTTAATATTGTCTCTCATTGGGATTGAGATAAGCACCTCGTAATAAAGGCAACATCTTGTATTTGTTTATCTTGTGTTTTTAAGTTTGAAGTTTAACGGAAGAGAAAATATAACTTTAAATGACGGCAATGTACAACTTTATTCACCCCCCCACCCCCTAATTCTGAACTTGGATCGGTTAGTCAGTCAAGCTGGAGTTAGAAATTCAATACCAGCCTTATCCATTGCACGACTGATTCATTATAATAAGAGAAATTGAATAGAAAGAGATATTTCATTCTAAAATCTAAGGATATTGACATGCGATCTGGATTTTTTTAATTTCAAACTTTCGCCCCTAAGCAACACACCCTTTAAAAATAGAACATCAAAGCAGAGCTCAGCAACACGTTTTCCCCGCGCTCTACCCCCATGGCCTTGAAGGAAATTCCGTGGCCAACCCAAAGTAAAAAAATTGAAGGAAATACATATTGCATATCATAATGTAGTTAACATAAATAGTTACGTGTGCATCTGAAAGGTTCTGGATTGCATTGTGCTTCTTTAAATTAACCATTTTTTTTTCTGGACTGGCTGAGTTTCACTGCATGGTCACAGTCTTAAAAAAAGTATATTTCGTAGACAATAAAATACTTAATTTATAAGCTTAATTTGCTGTGTGCGTTTTCCCTTTCGTGGGAGGCATTTTGCAGCCGCATCATCTCGCCGGCACACCAGTTTGCCGCGGCACATCGTTTTGCGGAGCTCTGCCGTCAAGAAAAATAAATAGTACAGTGACCTCTGTGTGATGGGTGTGTTTTTGTCACTCATAAAACGTCAAGCATCACTGTACTGATCTGCAAAGTAAGGTCCTATCTGATTCAAACATTCCACCCTTTGCTGACCTGGTATTATAAGGTACGGTTGTACGGTTCGTCTGAATTCATCGAGGGGGACAAGCACACGGGTCTGCTGACCAATTCTCCTGGGCTGCCAGGAATAGTAGACATACACTGCGTTACGCACTGGCACGCCTTACAATGTTAACAGTCAATTATAAATTTTTTTTTGCTTAAGATTTAGACTGGTTTTCACCAAATACGCGACATTGTGAAAGGGTGGATTTGTTGCAGGCTTGGAGCCGCAATTTACTCTAAAATGATGATATGAATATTTAATAATTATAAGGAAAGGACAGGAGTGATGGAATGTTTATCAGAAGTGAGACGAGAACATGTTATAGCGTAGACCATGATAAATTAAAATGTATACCATGAGATATTAAATTGCATACCATGAGATGTTAGATCGTAGACCACGAAATATTACAGTGTAGACTATGAGATATTATAGCGTAGACCATGATATATTATAACAATGATTACGAGCTATTATAGCAAAAACATTTAGATATTATAGCAACATTCTGAGAAATTATAGGGAATATTGAGATATATTATAGCGAAGACTTTAGGATATTCATTTCGAACTAAACACTAGACACTTTAATTAAATAGCTACACATTGACGCAATGTTCGAATACAATGTCAATGTACTTTTTTTCACTTAAGACTTGATCTCCTGTAGGACTCACCACGCCACAGTAAAGTACCCGGACGAAATATTCGCCGGTGTCACTTTTTCTATAGAGTTCATAGATGATGTCAGCACAGAATGGTGGCCAGCGGAAGTCCCAGATTCCGAGGGCGATCAGCATTGGCGCTAATGTTGTGTCATGACCCGAGAAGAGGAAGATTTTCTGACACCTAAAAGAAATAAAAAGATGGCGTATATTAAGATAGGCGGAAAAAGTCGAGTTTTTTTTTTAATATTAAGGATAGGATAAGAACTAGAGGAATTAGTTTGAATTGACATCACCTGATTTTGGGTTCTGGGTGTGCATGAGTTTAAAATATTTGAGGGATTTCAATTCTTTTTTTTTTCTTTTTTTTTTTTTTTTTTTTTTTTTTTTTTTTTTTACTTTGACTGTTTTTTTTTTGAAAAGTGATTTTATTTTATTTTTTTTTTTTTTTTTTTTTTTTTTTTTTTTTTTTTTTTTTTTTTAAATTATTCACCTGGAGCTCGTTTCATTTTGAAAAGGTGATTAATTTAATTTATTTTTATTTTATTATTCGTTAAAATAGCTTTAGACCAGTGGTTCTTAACCTGGGTTCGATCGAACCCCAGGGGTTCGGTGAGTCAGTCTCAGGGGTTCGGCGGAGGTTAAAAAAAAATCAGAACAAATCAGAAAAAAATCGTACTTTATTTTTTTCTATTTAGAGAGGGTTCGGTGAATGCGCATATGAAACTGGTGGGGTTCGGTACCTCCAACAAGGTTGTGAACCACTGCTTTAGAAAAGGATTATATTTTAAAAAGCCACTTTCATGTGTCTTGGTTTCGTGGTAAAAATGTAAAATATATATTAACATCACTGGTTATTTTGAAGTTACTACACAAAATTTACATGAAAACATTCCTCTATCTCGAGTAGATTGAAATTTGCGTATCTGATTCCTTGCGAGAATAAAGGCAATCATTTTCAAAGATGTCGATTCGAAACCCAAAGGCAATGCACATCCAACGTACAACTGAATGCAAAAGTCACCCAACTGTGCATCCAAAGACAAGGCACATCCTAAGGCAATGTACACCAAAAGGTAAAGTACTCTCTAAGGTGCATCCAAAGACATTGTACATCCAAAGACAACGTGCACTCAAAGACAATCTATACCCTAATGCAATGACCTCCCAAAGGCAAAGTACACCCAATGGTAATGACTTCAAAGGTGAACCCCAAGCTAATTTTACACCAAAATGCAATGTACACCAAAATGTAACGTGCACCCAAAGATGCACTCTAAGACAATGTACACCCAAAGGCAATGTGCAACCAAAGGCAATGTACAACCAAAGGCAATGTACTCCCAACAGCGATGTACACGCAAAGGTAATATGCACCCAAAGATAACGGTCATCCCAAGTTAAATATAGGCAAATAAGAGCCAGCTTAGCACAATTCAAAGACACGGGACTAAAATGCAACTAACGGTCTATTGTCAACACGGTTTTCAATGTTGAACAGCAGCGTATACAGAAGTTGGCCTATGGACAGCCTGGTCACATCGTGTCGGTGCTTTCCCCTGGAAAAGGTAGACCAACAAAAAAATACTTAGTGACATTTACTGTCAAGGATATACTGCACGTCATTAATCTAATTGAAAAACTTCACATATTTAGTCTCATAAAAAACATTACATATAATTTATCTAAATGGAAAAATAAATATTAAAATGAGTTTCCTTTAAATATGCAAGTATAAAAAAAAACATTTGTAGGACTCAACAGCAGCGGGCAACTTTCAAACATTCTACGAACCATAAAATAAATGCAAGCCGCATGTACTAGGTTAACATATACTTAATAAAGTATATTTTTTCCTAAATACTTATATATCGCATATTTATGTTAAAAAATATTTTAAATATTCCTATGATCCATGCATATTTCAACATTGTTCAAACTTCACGTTTCTCTGAAACTACAAACACTGTACTTGTACTCACTTTAATTTACTTTAACTATCTTTTCGTCATGTTTAAATTAATAGTAGCAAATATCATCATCATCATCGGCACTGTACATCCTAAAAATCCAGGCCTGCACATCTCAAAATGTAAAGCGGGCCGTACTACTATATGAAAAAGTTGTGGGGGGCCAAATACAAAATAGGACAGGACTTGTGCGTGCAAAAAGAAAATAGGACAAGGGGGGAAGCTATTAAGAAAAGAATACGAATAAATATTATTTCTTTCCTTCACAGGCCGCATGTGGCCCGCGGGCCGTATGTTGTACAGGCCTGCTGAACACGACCGTCTCACTTACGCCTTTCCTGCGTAAACTGCGTGCAGCGTTTTCGCCGCGTTGTCTTCTATCATTTTCTTGAAAGGGACCAAAGCCGCCGGGTAGGCAGACCCATGAGTCTGTGGAGTCAGGTTACATTGATTAGTGAACAAATAAAAAACTAAAGCCCCGTGTTAGACAGATCCACGAGTCTGTGGAGTCAGGTTACATTGATTAGTGAACAGAGTGCAAATCATCAGTCCTAACCACGGAGGAGTCAGCGATGCGAACAGTGCACCTCAGCATCCCTACGGGTCATTCGAGAGCATGTCTTTTTGTAGCAACGAGCAAGGCCGGTAGCGTAACTAGGGCGTTGCGGGGGTGTGGGGGGGGGGGCGTACCTCACCGGGTGAGGAGATCTCAGAGGGGTGACGCCATATTGCATATCTACGGAGCACACTTTTTGAATTTCGTCAAAGGATAATCGATCGCAGCAAATTAGACACACGTGTTACCAATCCAAGTGCATGCATCAATAAAAGTTCAAGGTGATTCCTTTAGAAATGAATTGGCCATAGTTCAGAAAAAAAAACACATCGTTTTGACCATAATTCAACGCCGATTGAAGTGTAAGGTCACTTTCGTATGTTTGAGGAGCTATTTTTATCTAACTTCTGAGAAATAAATCTTCCCATTGAAACCCAATGGGATTCTAAGTACATGTTACAGTTCTTAAATGAATTTACCTCCCGACCTTCATTTAATTTTTTTTTGTTCTTATCATTGTTATACTGTTGAAGTATTTTAACTAGAAGAAATCCACAGTGGAAGACGGGAGGAGGAAGGGGTTACACCATGAGTGTGCCGAACCGGGTGACACCAACCCTTCATACGCCACTGTGTAAAACCCCCACCCCGCACACCGTCTCGGGGGGGGGGGTTGTCTAGTGATTGTAAGACGTTCTGAACGGGTTCACCTGAACGGTATTGATTATTTTATTGTTTTGTACAACAGATGCCTTGATATAAAACATTGGATTGCCTAATGGGTAGAGCATTAAATAAATTAAACTGGTAGATTTCTAGAAGACATACATAAATTAATACAACACACTTCCCTAAACTAAGAAACTAGCAAGGTATTTCTATGTGGTAAAAAAGAAATAATACTATTTGCGGTGAAAAGTATTTTTCTTGCCCGATTAATATGCTAAAATGACATAATTGTAAGAATTGAAACAAACGCCACTAGTAAAACAAATCTTTCAATTGATAAAACTTTAGAGTTTACAATAAATTTCATTTGAAACTAATTATTTTATGTGTATGCTTCCTTCCTTTGCTGTGCATATTACATTATCTTTTTTTTCATTATTATTAATTTTTTTTTTAAAGATTTTTATATATCTTCTTATTAAAAATTATTTTATTTAGATAAATCCTCCCACGTAAATAAAATATAATTGCCACCTTCTGACCAATTTGCACAGAATTAATGACTCAAGGGAAACAACACAAGTATTTGATTATATTATCATGGCATTTGCACGTGGTGGAGACATGTTGATCGCGTACATACAACTTACCACTCTCGAAGCAATGTCGTCACGAAGACAGGCAAAGTCCATGTCTGTGTTTTGTGGCAGACCTGTGTTAAATTATGTTGGCATTAAAAAAAAAAAAAAAAAAAAAAAACAAAAAAAACTTCATGTCTGTGTTTTGTGGCAGACCTGTGTTAAATTATGTTGGCATTAAAAAAAAAAAAAAAAAAGAAACAAACAAAAAAAACTTCTCCAGCCATCACAAGTAACGAGCGTTCAACATTGATCTAATCAGTTTAATGTTACAAATTAAAGCAGGTCATTATTAAGTTGGTAAACTTAAGCTCTGTATATTCTTAAATACGTTTCATAAAAGCAAATTTGAAAATTGACCAGAAAAAAAAAATATTGATCGCCCATATGAATAGCGTAGCGTTTTTTCGCATATTTAAGACACACCTAATTGTAACGCACCTAATCATAAGACGCACCTAATTATAAGACGAACTTAATTATAAGACGCACCTAATTATAAGACGCATCTAATTATAAGACGCACCTAATTATAAGACGCACCTAATCAAAATATGCACATAATCATAAGACACACATAATTATAAGACACACCTAATCATAAGACACACCTAATCATAAGACACACCTAATTATAAGACACACCTAATTATAAGACACACCTAATCATAAGACACACCTAATCATAAGACACACCTAATTATAAGACACACCTAATCATATGACACACCTAATCATAAGACACACCTAATTGTAAGACACACCTAATCATAAGACACACCTAATTATAAGACACACCTTATTAGAAGACACACCTAATCATAAGACACACCTAAACATATGACACACCTAATCATAAGACACACCTAATTGTAAGACACACCTAATCATAAGACACACCTAATTATAAGACACATCTTTTTAGAAGACACACCTAATCATAAGACACACCTAAACATAAGACACACCTAATCATAAGACACCCAATTGTAAGACGCTCCTAATTATAAGACACACCTAATCATAAGATATATCTTATTATAAGACACACCTAATTATAAGACACACCTAATCATAAGACACACCTAATTATAAGACACACCTAATCATGAGACACACCTAATTATAAGACACACCTAATCATAAGACACCTAATTGTAAGACGCACTTAATCATAAGACACACCTAATCATAAGACACACCTAATCATAAGACACACCTAATCATAAGACACACCTAATCATAAAACACACCTAATCATAAGACACACGTAATCATACGACACACCTAATCATATGACACACCTAATCATAAGACACACCTAATTGTAAGACACACATAGTCATAAGACACACCTAATCATAAGACACACCTAATCATAAGACACACCTAATCATAAGACACACCTAATCATAAGACACACCTAATCATAAGACACACCTAATCATAAGACACACCAAATTATAAGACACACCTAATCATAAGACACACATAATTGTAAGAAGCACGCGTATAACAGAAGCGGAGTTTGACGTTTTGTGTAAAATTTATTTTACAAAAGACACACCCATATATCAGTCAATAGTTTTGACGATTTGTGTAAACAAAAATTACTTATGACGTCATCTGTCTCACGGATCCATTAATATCCGGAAGTTTCCTTTCCCTTACCAAAAATGACAACGTTTCAAATGTTTCATCGCCCGTCGGATGTAAACAAGGCATCATTACCATTTTCAGTTTACCGGTAGATTAAGGCATTGTCTGAAACAGGACCGCAAAGACACCCGCAGTTTTAGCTACTGTTTCTATAGCCATTTTCCACCTTGCAGTTACTATTCTACTGTCTCTGGTTTTTCATTTTTATTTTGCTTTAGCAGTTGAAATAGTTAACATTTTTTTAAATAATTTTAAAGCGCTTAGAGCTGATAGGTAAGAGCTATACAAAACTGCCTAAATAATAATAATAATAATAATAAGACGCCCCCAAGGTGCGGAGTACGTAAACTTGTTATCAGACGCGTCTTATATATGAAAAAATACGGTAAATGTTTATCTATTATTATTATTTTTTTTACAATAAATTCAAATTAGAATAATCTAAAATAAAAACAAAAAAAAAATTATAAAATTGAAATTTAAAAAAACATCTTTTGATTTCCGTTTTCGAAATTTGTATTTCGCATTTGACATATGCCCACAAAAAAAATATTCTTGCCATCGTTTTGTGAGCTAAGATGTTTTGTTGTATCACACGAAAAGTAACATGACAGACAACTTTACACAACTACATCATCATCAGTGGCACGCAATTCATGTAGAGCCTCGGCCCACTCCACCACATCTTTCAATTCGGATCAATTCATCGCTTTCCAACCTCCACGCGCGAAGCCCCGCTGGTTTAGGTCCTTCTCCACATTGTCGATCCATGTCAGTCTTTGCCGACCGGTTAGCGTCAGCCCCTAGGTTTCTCCATGCAGATCACGTATGCTGCTCTAACATCTGGCATCCTCTCACTCTGTCCTATCCAGCACAATTGTTGCGTCTCTGGGTGGTTCTTTGTACAATTGATCTATCTCTTGGTTTTCTTCGGATTCTCCAACCTTCATTTTCTATCACCGCACCATATGTTATTTCCTCCCCCATACATTGAGCAGGGTCTTTGCTTATGTGGTAATGGACCCGACCACACCATTTCATTTTTAAAAAAAATTGAATCCCTTACAAAATATATGGAGACCACTTCTGAAATAAAAATACCCTTGGAAAAATAAAATCAAATTTAGCACATTATTTCTATTCATCCACCACCACTCGCGCACTTACCCAGAGCCTTAATAACGGCGAGCCTGTCCTGTTTGAACCCTGGCAGCGACTCGATGTTGGACAGGGTCATGTCCACAATCAGCCGCAAGGCGGGGCACGCCAATTTATTGGGGAAAATGTCCTCCTCATAAATGTTTTTAACGAGGACCTGGATAGGACCTGTATGGGTGGCAAGTTCAAACAAAAATTTGAGACAGTGCAAAAAAGCTGTAGGACCTGTATGTGTGGCGAGTTCAAACAAAAAATTGAGACTGTGCAAAAAAGCTGTAGGACCTGTATGTGTGGCAAGTTCAAACAAACATTTAGACTGTGCAAAAAAGCTGTAGGACCTATATGTGTGGCGAGTTAAAACAAAAATTTGAGACTGTGCAAAAAAGCTGACAACATGCACTGCAAACTTTACAATTTGTCTGGCATCTTGATACTCAAGACTTACTATATTTATTTATTTTTTTTTAAATTAATCAAATGAAACTTAAAAAAAGCCACATTTTAGACTATACTCTTAAAGCAGGGGGTCGCTTAGCCCATTCCGAAAACACATAAAGTAGCAGCCAAAATATTGTTATAGTTTGCGGTCACCACAGCATGGGGAAACTGTATTAAAGGTTCGCGGCATGAGGAAGGTTGTGAATCACTGTCTTAAAGAAACCATTATTTAATTTCATCAGAAGAAACAAATTACAAGATCTGTTAAGTCCATCTTTAACGAAAAACCTACTTTCTGATTTAGCATTCTCGTAATTGACAAACCCTTATAACTAACAACGATGTGGTTTGTGGTCAGCAACACAATGGAGGTTAGCAAAGGATGATTCCAACTCCTGAATGAGCCGCTATAGGAGTTGGACAAACCCTATCTTGCTGGACTGATTTGGTTTTTCTTATTTTAAACGAGTGCCCATATTATCTACCAGAAGTGCCTGTATTTGTCTTGATTTATAATTTTATTATTAATGATTTGAGCTCCAGCCGGCAAGCAAGCCTGTCGTGACATGTAGCAAGAAATCATGTGGTAACGTGTAGCAAGTAGGGCGTGTCGTGACATGTAGCAAGAAATCATGTGGTAACGTGTAGCAAGTAGGGCGTGTCGTGACATGTAGCAAGAAATCATGTGGTAACGTGTAGCAAGTAGGGCGTGTCGTGACATGTAGCAAGAAATCATGTGGTAACGTGTAGCAAATAGGGCGTGTCGTGACATGTAGCAAGAAATCATGTGGTAACGTGTAGCAAGTAGGGCGTGTCGTGACATGTAGCAAGAAATCATGTGGTAACGTGTAGCAAGTAGGGCGTGTCGTGACATGTAGCAAGAAATCATGTGGTAACGTGTAGCAAGTAGGGCGTGTCGTGACATGTAGCAAGAAATCATGTGGTAACGTGTAGCAAGTAGGGCGTGTCGTGACATGTAACAAGAAATCATGTGGTAACGAGTAGCAAGTAGGGCGTGTCGTGACTTGTAGCAAGAAATCATGTGGTAACGTGTAGCAAGTAGGGCGTGTCGTGACATGTAGCAAGAAATCATGTGGTAACGTGTAGCAAGTAGGGCGTGTCGTGACATGTAGCAAGAAATCATGTGGTAACGTGTAGCAAGTAAGGCGTGCCGTGACATGCAGCCGTTCGGCACGTCACGTGAGGGAATAGACACGCATAACCTTCCAGTCAACCCAATCTACCATGGCGGGAAACAGGCCCCGTACCTCGTATGTGATTAACAGAAATCCTAAACCACAATGTCGGTTCAAAATGGTATTTGCTTCCTCACGCCGTTGAATTTTAAATATGAGTTCTAGTTCCCTCCTTACCGACTTCGTTGAGGTGATCCTTCCCAAACATACCGGCCAGCAGACATCGCACTGATTTTATCGTCCGCTCCACGTGGGATGACCGGACACTAGTGACCCCCACAAGAATGCGAGATTTGGGGAATAAAAAAAAAAAAAAGAAGAATTCAAATGGTGAATATCTGGATGGCGTTTAGTTTTACGTCCAAAATCATTCAAGCTATTCTGAAAACTATTAGACCGTGTTGTCTAAAGTAATGGGAGCATTAAGTCAGATTAAAATTACATGACCTGCACAGGCCATGACTTTTTTCATCAAAAAGTGATTTTAAGTGTCCAATTAGAATCAAACTGCATTCACTTAATCACCATGTTACAGTCTCATTAACCATCAAGGTAGTGTCCCTTTAGACTCCATTAATGTAACATTAAACAACAGTCTCATTAACCATCAAGGTAGAGTCCCTTTAGACACCTCTAATGTAACATTAAACAGAACATATTATATTGGGTGTTTATTTTCCTCCATAAATGGAAAACATGGTTCGCTTATAGCCCCCGACCCTACTAATTTTTTTGTGTACGCCTAAAATTAATGCAACATTTCATTTTTGAGACACATTCTGAGAGAAAGTTTAAAGAAAAAGCCCAGCAACAATAAATAACATCAAAGTCGTCATAGGTTAAGAAACAGACGCCGTGGTCTTAACACGGCTGTCACAATTAGTTACCTACTAGACATCATGGTTTAACATGCCTGTCACAATTAGTTACCTACTAGACATCATGGTTTAAAATGCCTGTCACAATTCGTTACCTACTAGACATCAGGGTTTAACATGCCTGTCACAATTAGTTACCTACTAGACATCATGGTTTAACATGCCTGTCACAATTAGTTACTTACTAGACATCATGGTTTAACATGCAATACAAGCCAGCACAATAAGTCCCTGATATGGCTAAGGGAATTCACTGAATGGCTGTTTTTTTTTCACAACTTAAATAATTTAATGTGGATGTCTTGTGTTTAAATTATTTTATTTATGTTCTGAAAATGTACAATGAAATCAAGAAACATTTCCATTTTTTCGGATAAATTAAATAATGTAATGTTATTTAATGTTATAAGTTACCTATTAGACATGTTTTAACTTGAAGTACATACCTGCCACAATAAGTTACTTACTAGACATCATGCATTAACATGGAGTATATGCCTCCCACAATATTTTAATTACTACACACCATAGGTTAAGAAACGGCTAATGTGGAATACAAGTCTCCCACTATATAATAATTACTAGACATCATGGGTTGAGAAAGGTTAAAATTAAGTACATGCCTTCCAAAGTAAGTTACTTACTTGACATCATGGATTGAGAAAGGTTAAAATTAAGTACATGCCTCCCAAAGTAAGTTACTTACTTGACATCATGGGCTGAGAAAGGTTAAAAATAAGTACATGCCTCCAAAAGTAAGTTACTTACTAGACATCATGGGTTGAGAAAGGTTAAAATTAAGTACATGCCTCCCAAAGTAAGTTACTTACTAGACATCATGGATTGAGAAAGGTTAAAAATAAGTACATGCCTCCAACAGTAAGCTACATACTAGACATCATGGGTTGAGAAAGGTTAAAATGAAGTACATGCCTCCCTTAGTAAATTACTGAATAGACATCATGGGTTGAGATAGGATAAAATTAAGTACATGCCTCCAACAGTAAGTTACTTACTAGACATCATGGGTTGAGAAACGGCTAACATGGAGTATAGGAAGATACCAGTCACGTAACAACACGCCCAGGTCGTACATCTGTTTCTGCCCAACTGTTGTAAGAATCGAGGCGTGAGCCCCACCCTGGATGACAAGTGACATGCTTCATTGAGCTCGACTTTTTTTCTCTAACATTCAGTCTAAACTACTGACATCAGCATTCATTACCGGCTTCGGTAAGTAGGTCAATAAAATGTGTCGGCATTTAGATATTCGGGAATTTTTTTATATTTTTTTTATTAAAGAATATTATATCCTAACCTTGACAAAATAAAGACCACGGGTCCTTAAAAAACAAACAAAAAAATTTATTAAAAAGTCAGTTAACCCCCCCCCCCCCCCACCCCCCCCCCCCCCCCAAAAAAAAAAACAAAAAACAACCATTGTAATATCTCGTGTGTAATTGAATCATAGTTTAAAAATCAGGGGGAGTAAATCTTAAATTTAAAGATTAAGAGGTAATTTAAGACTTTATCTCCCCTGCAAAAACCCAACTTCGCTGAATGTACATTTTTGAAGAGTCGCGCATCGCTTTATTTTTAACCGCAGTTTTCAACGAATTGTGTTTAATGTTGTTGGTGACAAATCCCGTGTGCCTCCCCCATTAACGTCTACCTTTAATTTCTTTGCCCTAAGATCAGGCTCCATAGTGGACTTCCCTGCAGGTGAACCATCCGCGAATTTCACAACTTCCAAGTCAAAGTCAGTCTCTTGCAGTTCGTCTTCTAAAGATGCATCGTACGTCGCCTGCAAGGGTAAAGTACATTCTAGAAAGGACAACACTAAATAGTCTTCTAAAGATGCATCGTACGTCGCCTGCAAGGGTAAAGTACATTCTAGAAAGGACAACACTAAATAGTCTTCTAAAGATGCATCGTACGTCGCCTGCAAGGGTAAAGTACATTCTAGAAAGGACAACACTAAATAGTCTTCTAAAGATGCATCGTACGTCGCCTGCAAGGGTAAAGTACATTCTAGAAAGGACAACACTAAATAGTCTTCTAAAGATGCATCGTACGTCGCCTGCAAGGGAAAAGTGCATTCTAAAAAAAAAAAAATAAAAACTCTGAATTTTTTTTTTATGTAGCGTATTAAGCTTAATTGTTGTTGTTATTAAATTGCATTCAATTACGTGTAGGTAAAATCAAACAATATTTATGGACCAAGATTGTTAAATTTGTTTCAGATTTTTAAAATATTTTTTTTAAATTTCCCATATTACATTAAAAGCCAATTCAAAATTATTTCTGAATGATTTTACCGAAATCGGAAGAAAGGGTTAAAGAGCGTTTAAGGTATGGTGTTTAAAGTAGTTCAATTATCACACAAATTAAAGAAATTCCATATCAGAACTGAGGAAATGATTTCGTAAATATTTATATCAGAATATCTAGAAAAGATCCATCAGATTTTCAGATAATTCATCGCCGCCAACTAATTTGCGCGAATTGCTGTTTCAAGCGAACTTCCTGAGCGACCCAGGCGGAAACAAGATACAAATCAACGACTCACCTCATCCAACCCCCGAATGAAGTTGAGTGGTGTCCTTGCTCCATGTCGAAACACAACCTGAATCTGAGTGTAAATAATACATTTTTGTAAGCAACTGTATCACAGAGAAGACATATTTAAAAAAAAAAAAAAAAACTCTTCCATAAAACTTTTACGTTAATGTCAAGAAAAAAACATTTTAAAAAACAACAAAACTCTAATTTCGCTTTGCAGTTTTTAATTGCTTTACAATAGAAAAATGATCCATGCCGGATTGTGTTTGTCGTTCATAAAATAAGTCATATCCTGATTCAGTTATTTTAAAATTTTCTCGTAAGGTATCCATGTCAAGGTGTGAAGCTTTCTTACATATCATGAACGACAGGGTTTTTTTTTTTAAAGAAAAAAATCAATGTTGCAAAGCATTGGTCAATATTTATACTATTTGATTTTACTTCAGATTTTGTCGCACTATTGTACTGTCATCGATTACTGGATTATGTCTCACATTATTGGTACTTGACTAGACTTACTTGAACCAATTTGTGATTGTCGCACACGATTGACCGGTAGGAGTCTATGTGTCAGGTACAGGTCTAGACTAACTTGTATCAACGTGAGATTATCGCACGTCATTGGCCGAGAAGAGCCTATACACCTGGTGATGGTCTAGACTTACTTGAACCAACTTGAGATTGTCGCACACGATTGGTCGGTAAGAGTCTATGCTGGTGGCACACTGATCTTCCTTGTCATCACCACCTTTATATTTTTGAGGCTGCGACTTGGAACCACCGCAACATATGATGCCTTGACTACTCTGGGGTGGGGGTAAGAGAGGGGTGGGGGAAATAGGTCAATGACGGGTACGTAATGCAAGCTTAATTTATGCAGCCGACACCAAGGTAAACAATATCTATGTTAACAAATAAACTTTATTTTTAAATTTAAAAGTAAATAATCATATTTAGACTGAGTGTTTTATCCCCATTGTGTACGCCGTATCGTGTACGCCGTAGTGTGTACGCCAATGTACACTTCATTTATGGACGTTTTCTGTATAGTGAAACTTTTTTATCACTTTTGACCCATTTCAGAATTATTTCGAATATATTAAAATATACACATAATATTTTATTTTAGTATCAAACTTTTTTTTTTTTAATGAATAGAACTACTTACGTTTATTTCTTGAAAAGATACATTTATGATTTGTAACACATTTTGAAAAACTCGTGAAATGTGAACATTTTGAGCTTGAACCTAATGATTTTATGTTAAATTTTTTAAATTATCTTTGTTTTTTAAATTACAAAGTATCATCCCACAAATAGTAGGGTCGAAAGGAATCTAAAGGACAGTGCACAGAGAGGTGATCACCAATAATAATGACGACAAATACAGACAAAACTAAAAACTGCTACTTTCTGACCACTGCTACTTACTACTACTAGTGATCACCAATAATGACTACTACTACTGACCCTACAAGAGACCACTAATAATGTCCACTAAGTCTGACCACTACTAATGACCGCTACTAATGACCTCCATTAATGACCTCCACGTTACACCACTACTAGTGACCTTGCTGCTGACCACTACTACTGACTACTACTACTGTCCACTACTACTGTCCACTACTACTGACCAACACCACTTACCACCATCACTGACCACCACAACTGGCCACCACCACTGACCACCATTAGTGACCACTACTACTGACCACAACTACTGACTACTACCACTGACCCATACTTCCGACCACCAACATGATAGTCTACGTTACCTTCATTCTACTCATATTTTATCCCCGCGTTCTGTCTGCAGGTGTTTGCTAGCCCGTGAACATCCATAGCCAGCTACAGCCGACGACTGACCACAGCACCAGAGCGCAGATACGATATGGTTAACGAGGAGTAACAAAGCACGTACACTGTGGTGTTCAATTGGATCGGTTGTTAAAGATGGTCAATTGAACAAAAACAAACAAATTAAATAAGTGCTATTCGCTTGGTTTGGAGGGGGGGCTGGAGACGACAAGCCAAAGCAGAAACAAGTGCCAAAAATTGCCCTTTTTTCGAGAAATGTTGTCGTTTTCTTCGGGTTTTTCAAATACCTTATATCATTTAGACCTTATTACAAGACCTGAGCGTTGTGTGAACATTAGAAAAAGAGACTTCAGAGGGCCGTCAATCTAAAGCCATAATGCCCTCCACAAGGCAACCCAGTGCCTCTTAACGGTAAGCGATATGATCGCTATCAACTCCTCTTCATAATTGCCCCTGGGTAAAAAAAGAATTGAACTCTATATACGAAGCAAAGATTGGTCAGTGTTCCCCGTGATATAAGAGAGACGTTTAAGGAAGTTCTCAACGCGTCTCCAGTTGTCTTACTACTACTAGTTGCACGCAATTTCAAAATCATGTTGTTGCGTGACTTTTAAAAGGGGCGCGATCGAAATCTGAAAAAAAGGAGCAATGTTCCAACGGTTGTCTCTTCTTGCAAAGTGACGTCAATGCTTCGCATAGTTTTTTTTCCTCTCCTATTCTTTATTATTTCTTCTTAAATAACAACTAATTGTAGATGGTATGTTTTTGTTTGAGAAGGAGAGAGGGAGCGACGGACAGAGAGAGAGAGTGTGAACACTACCCAGTTGTAAAAATAGGGTGCATTGACCTTACGACAACACTAACATATGTGCACAATATCAGCTCTCCCGGATTTCAAGAGCCTAGAGCAATGTGGGCTCAAAAATGTCAATTTCGACAAATAAAGACCACACCTATCAAGTTAATTAAATGGGCACAATACCACAAATGTCAAATTAATTGACATGGGACAATATCACACATGTCAAGTTCATTGACATGGGACAATACCACACATGTCCATTTGGGGGGGGGGGGGGTCAGTGAACTGTATTTTTTAAAAATATATTTAATACATGAATGAATGAATGACTATAGAAAAGTAGTATTTTTTTTAGGTGTCCGTGGCCTTCATCTGACCGGCAAACAAAAAAATCAAGTTCATTAATTAAATTGGGGTCACCATGCTTTTCACATTTATAATTAGGAAATGTGTCCTTTACAGAACGTAAACCACATATTTGTTATACAATCATTAGTTTAATTGTGTGTGTGTGTATGTGGGTTTTTTTTTTTCTAAGCCTCACCCAAAGACACAAGATCCGGACAGCAATTACATGTCTCCATGCAATCACAACTCATAGATGTAATAGGGAAGTTTGATGAAATCTGTAATCATAGAAATAAACCGAATTAAAAAATTGATCATAAATTAAATTTTGTTTGACGTTAAAAATAAGCAAGGAGTAATTATTATTTTATTTTAAAATTGCCTGACGAAACATTAATTATAATTGTATCTATTTAACTTTTTTAAAAAAGATGGAAAGTAAAATACTAAAACTGTCATTATAAATGCATTATGAAGTGTTTGAAAGAAAGATTCACCCTGTGGCATCTTGAGCTGATGTCGGCATATTTGTGTGCGACGTCTCGCTTCCGTTCAACAGCAGTCCAAGGATAATTGCGCATTGAGAAATGCACTGAAAAGTTTGCAATAGTTCACGCACGCTTCTTCTGTCCACTATTACAGTGAAGTCGTCGCAAAAGAGGGGGGGGGAGTGTTGGGGTGGTAGGGGAGGTTATAGTTTCTAATATTTTAAAATAAATGTGTTTTTTGTTGTTATTTATTTGTTAATTTAGCAACAGTCTATAAGATTGTGTAGCGTCCCAGCCATGTTAATCCAAAGACGCCTCCGCTGGCTTGGACACGTCAAGCGAATGCAATCTGGTCGCATACCAAAGGACATGCTATACAGCGAGCTGGCGACAGGGAAAAGGTCAGTTGGACGGCCTCGTGTGAGATACTTAGACATATGCAAAAGAGACATGAAGTCGGCTAACATCGACATCTCAAACTGGGAGGAGCTGGCAGAGGATCGATCCTCATGCCGGGGCATCTTGAAGGCAGGATCACTACATGCCGAGGAGCAATCAGGGCGGAAACAGCTGCAAAAAGAGCGAGGAGGAAGGCCGGTCAATACTGCTCCACCGCATTCGTGTGTGGGAAATGTAACAGAGACTGCCATTCGAGGATTGGTCTCACCAGCCACACCAAGAGCTACAAGCAATAAAGATAATCTATCGTCTCCCGCAGACGGAAAGATGCCATACAATAAGATTTATTGAGATAACACCTTAGACATAAAATGGGGTATTTAAAGCTTCATATAAGAATACATAGGAATTTGTAATGTCTCCAAGAAGACTTTTCATCTTACTTACATACAGAAATAATACACGGGTGTATGCAATTAGTTTTAGATTGTAGTTTAACATGGATAAATTGTTAATGTAATGGCTTATGTGTAATTCTGCAAGGTGCTCTAACTATAGTATAGAATTTTTACCAGAGTTTCTTTGCCTAGCTTTGTACTCGGGTTTCCTTGTTACATATTGGCCCTGCATACCACTATATATTATTAGCTTCTATTTTTATTTTGACCTCTGGTTTTTGGTCTTAGTTATTTCCTTAAGGATACTTCTGGTCCATACGCTCCTAGTTTTTGTTCAGTGATGTCTAAACCTGTCGATCGGTTTCTATATATTTTCTATCAATTTTATAATACAGAATTATATGGTATTATTTACTAATCGGCTTTTTGTACATTGCTAACATCAATTAAATTACATAGTTACATAAAATATTTTTGAACTTCCTTGAGTATGTAAGCGTTTGAACGTTTCATTTTTTTTTTATTCAAATGTTTCAGGTGCCCACCGAATATTTCCGAATAGCTCCGAATAGCTCCAAACAGCTCCGAATAGCTCCGAATAGCTCCGAAAAGCTCCAAATAGCTCCGAATAGCTCCGAATAGCTCCGAATAGCTCCGAATAGTTCCTGTTAGCTGCGCTTTATTTTAAGTTTTAAAAAAATAATTCAATAAACTTTACGATATAAAATACAAAAATTTCTTCATTATAAAGAAATAGTTTTTGCATTAAAATATATTTTCACTAAAGTAATGAAAGGTTTTAAAAAAAAATAATAACTTTTTGTGGAAAGACAATCTAAGCAGCAACATTGGAAAGCAATTGTTTTGTGTAAAGCTGTAATGAATGGATTACAACTAAAACGACAACGGACAATACATTTCTTTTGAAGAAAACACGTACCGTTTATTTCTGAATGGAGAGGCCGATTGGAACCATCAAAGCAATAAAAGGAAAATGAACAACAAATTTTGTTTTGTAATAAACACTGCCTTCCTGTTTCCGAAAAGGGGCGGCGATTGAATACAAATCGAAGATGAGATAGTTTGTCTATCAAACCAGGACATCATAACACATCGTTAACTATTCCTATAATAGTTTTATTACAATCAGGCAATGAGGATTCGGCTAACTGCGATATCTCTTTTTGTAACCTCGCTCTATCTGCGTACGAATGAGAAGAAGTATAATTTGTTTTCTCAGGAGAGACGCATTTCTAATTAAAGGCAACTGAGGTCAAACTCTATGACGGTTTAGTTCTTTGCCCTTTCCAAACACGTCAGGAATCATAATCATGTAGAACGGGAACAACGCATTACTGGATCTTCTTCTGGAGAAATTAAAACACCATACATTTATGTTCATATTTTCAAGCTAACTCTCTCATTCTCTCCATTTTAATTTCCCCCCCCCCTCATATTTCCTCTAATGTCTAGGTCTTTAAGATATTTAAAATGAATTGCTCTGTTCTTTTCTATCTCTCTTTCTCTCCATCTAACTCTCCCTCTACATTTCTCTCTCTCACTCTCCTTCTCGCTCATTCGGTCTCTCTCTCTTTCTCTTTCTCACTCTCTTTCGCTCTCCATATCTCTCTCTCTCTCTTTCTCTCACTCCCTCTCATTCTCCATATCCCTCTCTCTTTCTTTCTCCCTCTCACTCTCTATCTCCCTATATCTCTTTCTCTCTCTATTTCGCTCTCCATGTCCCTCTCTCTCTCTTTCTCTTTCACTATACCCCTATCTTTTACTCTCCTAAAAAAATTGATTTTTTCAAAGTCAAGAGGTGTATTTTTGAGTATATTTAAATTCAATGCTTTTATTTTTTTTTATTTTTATATCGGGGGAGGACATTCTAAACGTTTTGCTGGAGTGTCAAAATTAGCCATAATAATGATCAAATACATCTCCACTTCGGCGCCAGTGAGACGTAAACTAAATTCATTCTACTTGTTTCACCCTTGATCTATACACTCAGATACATAAACTTATAATTCAAATTTGGCAAGGAGACAAAATACCAACAGAATGGGAAACGGCAATTACAAACCCAATACACAAGAAAGGCTCAAAACTTCAGTGCACAAACTACAGCGGAATCTCTCTATTTAATTGTATACACAAAATATTCACGAAGCTATTAGTCAAAAGACTAAAATCGTACACTGAAGAAACACTAGATGATTACCAAGGTGGATTCAGAAAAACAGACGAACGACTGATTAAATTTAGAGAAATGAATGAATGTAATATCCCATTACACCAACTCTATGTCGAATTTAAAATGGCCTCTGAAAGCACCAAAGGAGAATATCTATATGCGATTCTGCAGGAGATTGGCATACCCAAACTGACATGACTGTTACATGTTATTTTGAAAAACAAAAAAAGCAAAATCAATGTTAAATGAGCATATTCGAGGAATGTTCATTTTAGACGAGGCCTAAGACTATGAGACTCACTGTCTTGTATTCTATTAAACCTACCATTAGAGAGAGTTATAATAATTATACACATTGACACCATAGTAACAAAGTTAGAATACTTTCTGAGG